AATCCACCATAATATAATCTTCGTAACATGGCAAAGACTCAATAACATCGTAAGGTGCCTAGGTATCAACGACGCTCCGTTAGAATACAATCTGTACCCTGACTGTAAACCTGTAAAACTGATGGTCATGTTATCGCATGACACCCCAGCTTTAGGGGGTCCCCTTTATGTGGGGCCACCACAGAGGTTTGGATATTTTTGGAATGGCGAAACATCACCTATAAGGATCATTGGTGCTAGGGTATTTAAATTGAGACTCTTTCCCCACACCCGTCGACTATCCGAGACTCCTTATTTATTTCGCAGCTAGCCAGTATATCTTCTGGGCTTTCCACAATCCGCAACCTGTGGACGCGTCTGATCAGCTATGCTTCCCGAAGGCGAAGCTATACAACTTACTATTATCTCTTAAGAATCTAAATATGTCCGTCCATTATACATTTTAATCGTGGAAGTTCAATCAGAATATATATAAAGTGTTTAACAATATTTACTGATATGGCATAATCATTTTTGACCACATTTCCCAACCTAACAAAGACATATAAGATTACGTCCATGCTGAAGCATTTTATGCTGTCTTTATGGTCGAGTGTAAGAGAAAGGACACCGAAGTCCACTGTAAAGAAGATTACAATCATCTACCTACTACAATGCAGCATGCATTGAAATGTTGCAGAAAAACAAAATGTGTGATGTTATTCTATGGTCATTTCAAGCATACTATAGTTGTATCCATGTGTATTGGTTACTTATACTCTTCTCCTTTTTTTAATGTTGCATGCGAAGACAATACAAAAATACTAAAATGTTCTTTTTTGTACATATATGTCCAACGTATGGTTTGTTTCTGTAAAATTGAGAATGTAGCCTTTTCACAGAAGCTGACCAAAGACTGTTTGCTTTCAAAGGATTCTCAACATGTTTGCACTTGAGGTCTGAGAGAGAGGGATGCATGTTTGCACTTTTGCTTGTTTAAGGTTTAATATTGTAAAAGGTCAGTTTAGTAGCCAACTGTATGGATACAATACAAAATGCTGATATCTATTAGTGATGTTGTTTTGGGTTTCTTTTTAAAGTGACCATTAGCCTGAATGTTAATTTAAATTTAAACAAAATTGTTTACAAGGAAAATAATTTGTTTGCACTTAATGGTAGTGGGAATAAAATTGTTTGCTAAAATTAAACCAGTAAAGAAAGTCATAAAGTCGGGCGGGGCCGACTTTATGATACCCTACACCACTCTGCTAATTTAGTAGAGCTGCGCATAACAATTAAAAGTTTTTATGAGAGAATTCACGCTATGTTTATAATTAAAATTTAAAGTTCAAAAGACTAAATATGCGGAAACATTTGTACCTTTAAATTCGGACTTGTATTGCCCATTTGGTGCACAATTAATTTGAAGTCGGATAACGATATATATGGGAACTATATCCAAATCGGAACCGATCTCGATAAAATTTGGCAAAGATATTTCTGAGCTGTATTTGATGTTTTTCCCTGAATATCGTTGTTACGGAGTGCATATTAAGGTTGTGGGTAACATATATAACAAATCGGATGAACAGTATATATGGGAGCTATAGCTTTATCTGAGCCGATCTTCACCAAATTTGACATACTAACTTCTAAATTCAATTCGGTCGTAAGTGCCAAATTCCATCCCATTTGGACAAATATTAGACGTTTGGAGAACAATAAAGGGTAAATTGGACGAAGTTATATATGGGAGCTAGATCCAAATCTGAACCGATCTCGATAAAATTTAGCAAATGTATTTCTGAGCTGCATTTGACATATTTCCCCAAATATTGTTGTTACAGAGTGCATATACGAATCGGATGAACAATACATATGGGAGCTATAGCTATTTCTGAACCGACTCCAATAAAATTTGGCATACTTATTTTCAGGCCTAATTTGGTTGTATGTGCAAAATTCCATACTATTCGGGCTGATATTACACGTTTGGTGCACAATAAAAGGCAAATCGGACGAAGATATATATGGGAACTATATCTAAATTTTGACCGCTTATCTCCAATTTGAATAGGTTTCGTCCTTGGACCAAACAAATGATTTGTGAAGAATTTCATCTGGATAGGGCAATAAATGCGAACTGTACTTTGTTTACAAAAATACATGGACAGACGGACGACAGACAATCGGACGGACGGACGTGCATAAATCGACTCAGAATGTGATTCTATGCAGATCACCAAAAGGAACTATGGATCTATCTCGTTTCCTTTTGCCTGTTACAAACAAATGCACAAAGCCATAATACTTGTGGTGTAGGGTATAAAAAGTGTCTTAGGATGAAGTATCTTAAAAGTGTTTTTAAATATTAATTTTAAATGGTACCTGTCCATTCCAGAACGATAGACCAGTACATGCATCAATAAGTCATCGACAGATTTTTAAACAGTCTTTATTTGGGAGAAAGTTGCCGTCAATTTATTTTTTTCATTTTAATCGGACAAAAATTAAAGCTGCTTCAAAATTAAATTCAAGTGGAGAAATATTTCCAATTAGACGATATCGAAAAAGTTTGCCCTTTATAGAGGTGTTGAAAATTAAACTAGTGTATGGTTTTAATTGGGCGCTCGCATTTTATCCAAATGTTATGATGTACGAAGTTGAACCGGATTTAACACTACTTTCGTATTACATGTTTAAAACGTATAAAAGTATAAAAAATACGGATTTATTTTGTTTTTTAAAAAAATTAGGACAGGTTCATTCTTATACCCTACACCACATAGTGGTAAGAGTATTATATCTTTGTGCATTTGTCTGTAAGATGAAAAAGGAAGCGAGACAGATTCTTAGGGATTTCAAAGCATCACTTTTTGTGTCGATTTATGTATGTCAGTCCATCTGTCCGTTCGTCTGTCCTAACTGCATGTGGCATGTATTATCCGATTGAGATGGATTTCTCCAAACAACATTTTTTGTCCCAAGGAAGAACCCTTTCAAAATTGGTGAGAATGGGTTGAAATTTAGATATAGCTCCCATATATCTTCAACGGATTTCGGGATAATGTGCACCAAATGGACAATATAAGTCCAAATTACCAGTATTTTGGCACATCCCACCGAATTCAGTCTAGAAGTAAGTACATCAAATTTGCAGAAAATCGGTTCAGATATAGCTATACCTCCCACATACAGGGTGAGATGAAAAAAACTGCAACAAACAAACTGCAAATTTTCCAGAAAAAAAAAGTTATTCGTGATGGAATTGAAGCGTGATAGTGTGATTTCTTTATATATGGCTGGAAAACCACAAGTGGTTATCGTTAGAGCCCTCCATTATTATGTATGAATAAATCTTGTGTGTCTTGTACCATCGCTTGTTACCGTGATACTGGTAGCGTAGCCCGATGTCAAGGAAGTGGACGGAAGAAAACAGCAACATTACCAGAAATGGTTCGAAAAGTACCGCCACCGCGTCGCAGTGGCCGAAAAGTGGCTCGTGAGCTAAACATATCGCAATATTCCATTCGGCAAATATTGACAAATGAGCTCGGAGTAAAGCCATTGAAAATCCAAAAAGTGCAAAAACTTACACCGCAACAGAAGGAAAATATACCCAAAAGAGCTAAAGAGTTGCTTCGCTTAGCCGAAAGTGGTAAAATGCCGAATTTGGTTTTCTTCGATGAGAAAACATTCGTTGTACAGCAGTTTGTAAACAAACAAAATGATCGTGTTTACTTGCCAAAGAGGTCAGCTGAGCAGCAAATGTGCACCTTCGGTTGACCACCAGAACTCAAGCCTCAAGCCGGCCATGGCGATGGTGTGGACGCCATAACAGCCGATGGTCGAACTTTGCTCGTATTAATCGACCGTGGCATCAGAATAAATGCCGAATATTATCGCGAAAATATTCTGGACGGTGTATTAAAGGCTTGGGCACGCAAACATTTTGGCTGCAGATCTTGGACATTCCAACAGGAATCAGCACCATCGCACTCAGCACGCGCCACCTAAAAATGCTTACAAAATAAGGTTCCTCCCTTCATTTCCAGCGAACAATGGCCACCAAAATTTCCGGATACTAATCCGTTGGACTATTGTGTCTGGAGTATTTTGGAAAGTAAGGTTACAAATACAAAAGTGTCGATCACCTCAAGCCAGCGCTTCGCTGGGAATGGGCCAAAATACCGCAGAGCAATATTCGGGCTGCGTGTGACGGTTTCATTGGCTGTTTGAAGGCCATAATTCGTGCCAAAGGTGACCAATTCGAACATATCTTAACTGATTCTAAAATTTGATTCTATTTCCGACATTTTTTGCTTTCATTTAAGGAAATTTAAAAAAATGTAAAATTCATGGCGTTTGACTTTGTTGCAATTTTTTTATCTGTAGTTTTAGCCTCATCAAATTTTATCCTCATCAATAGAATGTACACTTTAGAGTCTAAGACAAATATTTCAAGGTGAGAAATTTAGTATTAGAAGACATTTTGAGTGTTCCACCATTTTGACCAAAAAATAAAAAATATGTTTTAATTAAAAATTTATTCTCCAACCCATTGTGCAAACATTTAAACTGTGTATTTAAACAAACTTGGTACTTTTTAACAATGTTGTTTGTCTACTGAACAAATGCGAAATAAAATTTATTATTTTAACAACATTTTGTGGTAGAACCAAACAAAAAACCTAAAGAATAAAAAAAAAACAGCAACAACAAAATGCAATTAAAACAAAAATGCCAGGGACCAGAACTACGACAAAACAACCGAAATGAACTTTTTATTGCAAAATGTCATCCATTAATTAAGCGTTGTCGTCCGAGCACAACAGCACGGACAGCCACTGCCATTGATGGCAATGATAAAAAAGGGAATAACAGAAAAAAACATAGTTACCAAATGAGAAATAAATATATTCAAAGTATTTTATTTTGAAAATAAAAAAAATAGAACTGAAAACACATTAAATGTCAACAATCTAAACAATGAAAAAAATAGAAGAACAGAAAAACTAATGAAAACAAAGTTCAGACATTTATTGCTCGTTTACTGCTATTATTATTAAGTGTTAGTAGCCATTTGAAATTGGGTGCTTGTTTTTTACGCCATCTCCCTAATTTTGTCGTTTTATTTCCCCGTTCTTTTTTTCAGCGCCCAACTTTTGTCAACTACCATTGCGAGAGGACACAAGAGATGCTCTTAAATTTGTTAAGATGATAAACATGCAACAGCAACAACCTAGCCATAGTCAGCATAACTGCCGCACCATTAACAACAACCAACAAAGTCTGGCGAACCCCAGGCATTTGCTGTCACATGAGCCACAATATCCGCATCAACGGCAGCAGCAGGAACAGCAACAACAGCAGTATGAAGTGTTGCTGCTGCAACGGCAGCAGGAGCCTCCACCACAGCATCTGCAACAACACACACATCAGCATTTAAGACATAAGTCGTCGTCATTGTCATTGCCACCAGCCCCATTACCATCACCACCACTACCACCACCGCTGTCACCAACACCACAACGAAAACCCCTGCATTTACAGCAACAAATTGCTGTTAATTTAAAACAAATTATAAATGCCCATTTAAATATCATCCGATGGCATTTCCTGGTGATATTTCTGCTCTGCAATTGTATAGGTGAGTAGTTGCCAGCCTTTTGGGGTTTTTGTAGTTGTTTTGCTGCTGTTGCCTCTGTTAATTTTTGCTCTGACTTTGACTGATGTTTGTGTTTGAGTTTTGCAAACAAAACGTATTCTCTTCTTTTTAACTAAATGAACGCTCGTTATTTTTTATTTTATTTTATAATATATTATTGTATTGTATTTATTTTTATTCGATTATGATTTTTGTTGCAAAACTCCCACAGCGTTTATATGCAGTTGTTTATATTTATTTTAAAGAAAATCTACATTTTAAATCAGCTTTGTGACATGCGTGGTTTAAGAGGAATTAACGGTTAGGAGCTTTAATCAAAATTCATTTTTTTATTTAAAAGAGGCAATTTTAAAATAAGCATAACGAAAATAATGAATTAATAATGCAAACTTAATAAAGCCAACTAAATAGTGATTTGTTAAGAGCTTGATAATTTTTTTTTTTTTTTAAAAAAACGCATAAAATTTGCAAAATCTCATCGGTTCTTTATTTGAAACGTTAGATTGGTCCATGACATTTACTTTTTGAAGATAATTTCATTTAAATGTTGACCGCGGCTGCGTCTTAGGTGGTCCATTCGGAAAGTCCAATTTTGGGCAACTTTTCGAGCATTTCGGCCGGAATAGCCCGAATTTCTTCGGAAATGTTGTCTTCCAAAGCTGGAATAGTCGCTGGCTTATTTCTGTAGACTTTAGACTTGACGTAGCCCCACAAAAAATAGTCTAAAGGCGTCAAATCGCATGATCTTGGTGGCCAACTTACCGGTCCATTTCTTGAGATGAATTGTTCTCCGAAGTTTTCCCTCAAAATGGCCATAGAATCGCGAGCTGTGTGGCATGTAGCGCCATCTTGTTGAAACCACATGTCAACCAAGTTCAGTTCTTCCATTTTTGGCAACAAAAAGTTTGTTAGCATCGAACGATAGCGATCACCATTCACCGTAACGTTGCGTCCAACAGCATCTTTGAATAAATACGGTCCAATGATTCCACCAGCGTACAAACCACACCAAACAGTGCTTTTTTCGGGATGCATGGGCAGTTCTTGAACGGCTTCTGATTGCTCTTCACTCCAAATGCGGCAATTTTGCTTATTTACGTAGCCATTCAACCAGAAATGAGCCTCATCGCTGAACAAAATTTGTCGATAAAAAAAGCGGATTTTCTGCCAACTTTTCTAGGGCCCATTCACTGAAAATTCGACGTTGTGGCAGATCGTTCGGCTTCAGTTCTTGCACGAGCTGTATTTTATACGGTTTTACACCAAGATCTTTGCGTAAAATCTTCCATGTGGTCGAATAACACAAACCCAATTGCTGCGAACGGCGACGAATCGACATTTCACGGTCTTCAGCAACACTATCAGAAACAGACGCAATATTCTCTTCTGTACACATTCGTGTGGTTGGTTTAATGTCCAATAAAGTAAACTGAGTGCGAAACTTGGTCACAATCGCATTAATTGTTTGCTCACTTGGTCGATTATGTAGACCATAAATCGGACGTAAAGCGCGAAAAACATTTCGAACCGAACACTGATTTTGGTAATAAAATTCAATGATTTGCAAGCGTTGCTCATTAGTAAGTCTATTCATGATGAAATGTCAAAGCATACTGAGCATCTTTCTCTTTGACACCATGTCTGAAATCCCACGTGATCTGTCAAATACTAATGCATGAAAATCCTGACCTCAAAAAAATCACCCTTTATAAGAAATAACTCAACCAAAAGAAACAAATTAGTTCAAAATTTTGAAGGAAGGAAAATATGACAAGGACTTTCTACAAGCCGCAAAAGTGTAATAATGATTATTATTATATATTTTTATACCCCCAGCCATATGGCTAGAGAGGGTATATATATCATTTGATACGGCCAAAATGGTTTTAGGTCCTAGGTCTATGTGGACGAAATCCGCTTCAAGACGTTTGTAGTCGATGTCGATGTCCGTGCATCCATCCGTACGTCGCGCACGATAACTGTCGAAGGGATTATCCGATTTGATCCAAACTTGGTTCATCCTAATATTATTGTCAAACTTAGATAAAGTCCGGAGATGGACAAAACCGGTTCACTCTTTCTGGCACCTTCTCCCGAAAAAATCGAAATTTAAAAAAAAAATACCTGTACAGAAAGGGAAAGGATAATCTGATTTTGCTCCAACTTTGCAAAACCTTATACGTGCATCAATGGTCGGTCAGTTGCGAAAATGGACAATATTGGTCCACTACATCAAGAAAATGCCTTTCAACCAGAAACCTGAAATTAATGTGGAATATATGATTTTGCACATACTTTGATATAAATGTTCGATTTTCTTGTAATTTTTCCTATACCAATAGTTTTACCTCTATTATAGTAAGTATGAATTCGATCGACTATATCTGGTATCCCACGCACATTTGAACATTTTCCAAAAATTATCACGTATCTCAAATAAAGTGAAGGAAATAACTAAAATAGTCTAAACCTGGCAAATCGCAATACTTACATCATATTTATTTAGGTCCGATACGTCCTAAGTCCTACTCCGTATAGGGTCAACAGTTAAAATAATCATAACAGAAGTCTAAATATATTTAAATAATTTAATAAAGTATGCATCTGTCGGTAAAACCGTCTGATTCTTTTAAACCAGTTTTTATACCCTTCACCACAATGTGGTTAGGTTATTATATCTTTGTGCATTTTTTTTGTTTTTTTTTTTTTTTTTTTTTTTGTAACATGGAGAAGGAACCGATTAAGACCCATAGTTCCTTCTGATGATCTGCATATAATCACATTCTGAGACGATTTACACATATCCGTCCGTCTGTGTGTCTGTCAATGTATTTTTGTAAACAAAGTACAGGTCGGTTTAGATTTATATATAGCTCCCACATATCTTTTCGTCCGATTTCATTTTTATTGTGCGCCAAATGAGTAATAATCGTGCAAATAGGATGTGTTTCAGCACATCCGACCGAAATCATTCCAGAAACAAGTTCTTCAAAATTAGTGAAGTTTTGTCAAGATCGGTTCAGATTTGGATAAAGCTCCCATATATATATATATATATATTTATCCGATATCAGGTTTATTGTGCATGAAAAAACTGCAACCAACTTCATACTGCTGTCATTTCTATACCACTCGTCCGACAGCTGTTAAATTATTCCAGTGACTGCTCATTATATTGTTTACAAGAGTACAAAAGCATTTTGGTGAGAATTTTCCAGAAAACAAGTTATTCGTGATGGAATTTAAGCGTGATAGACACAAGTGGGTATCGTTTAGCACTCCAGCATTTAAATGTGAATAAATCTTTTGCGTCTCGTACAATCGCTCGTTACCGTGATACTAGTAGCGTTGCACGACTTCAAGGAAGTGGACGGAAGAAAACAGCAAAATCAGCACAAATGGTTCGAAAAGTAGAGAAGCGACTTGGTAGAAACCTGCATCGCAGTGGCCGAAAAATGGCTCGTTAGCTGAACATATCGCAATATTCCATTCGCAAATATTGAAAAATGAGCTCGGGTTAAAGCCATTGATATCCCAAAAAGCGCAAGAACTTACACCGCAATAGAAAGAAAATAGACTCAAAAGAGGATCAGTCTCTTCCAGCTGAAGCGACTGTATTTTGATAACCTGATTGAAGTTGTTAAAATTGAGAACACCCTATTTGATCATAATGCCAATTTCTGGAGGTTATGACAAAGTTGGCACGATCGATGTTTATTGGCCGTAAGATTGTGGGTTCATTAACTTAGTTGTTAGGTTATTCACACTTCCAAATAATCGTAGGAGATCCCATAAAGAATTTTTCCGTGACCAGCATACCAATTTAAGTCGAGTTATAGGCGCCCTCTCGTCAGTGCGACAATCTGTTGAGATCAGCGGTTTGGAGTTGAAAATAGTCTATATTTGTCCGAGTTGAGCTATATTCACCACAAAACTTATCCTCATGGCATTCTTTAGTTTTGAGGTTTCAACAAAAATTTTATAGAATACCGATCATAGGTCCACCAGTAGGTAAAATAACCTAATAGCAGTTTCTTGTGGCCATATATATTTGTTATACCCTCCACCATAGTATGGAGGGTATATTAAGTTTATCATTCCGTTTGTAAAACATCGAAATATACATTTTAGACCCCACAAAGTATATATATTCTTGATCAGCATAAAATTCTATGTCGATTTAGCGATGTCCGTCTGTTTGTCCGTCTGTGGAAATCACTCTAGCTTCTGAACGAGATGAAGTAAGTTAATAAAATTTTACTCAAATGTGTATTATGTCTTCAGGACTTTTGGTATTGAAAATTGGCCATGTGGGTCCACGTCTTCGTATAGCCATCATATAACGGTTTTTATGATTTTAGCTACATTATTCACCGGATTTGTTTCGAATTAGTTATTTGAAGTTCGCAATGAATACTACAGCCTAAGACAGAAAATTGTCTGTGTAGGTCCACGTCTTCGTATAGCCCTCATACAACGGTACCTCCCGATATTCGGTACTTTTATGATTTTAGCGACATTATTTACCGGATTTGTTTCGAATTTGGTATTTGAAGTTCGAAGTGGATACTACAGCCTAAAACAGAAAACTGTCTGTGTAAGCCCACGTCTTCGTATAGCCCCCATTCAACGGTACCTTCCGATATTCGGTATTTTGATGATTTTAGCGACATTATTCACAGGAATTGTTTGAAGTTCGCAATGAATATTACAGCCTAAGAAAGAAAATTGTCTGTGCAGGTCCACGTTTTATAACCCCCATGGTACCTCCCTATATTCGGTATTTTGATGATTTTAGCTACATTATAAACAGTTTTTTTTTTCAAGTTTCTCATTTGAATATTGTAATAGCTTATGACAAAAGTTGCCAGGTCCACGTCGTCGTATGGACCATAATATACGGCTACATTCGGTATTTTTAACATGTTAACCTAATTTTTAACGGATTTTATTTGTGTGTTTTTTTTTTTTTTTTTTTTTTTTTTTTTTTTTTTTTTTGAAAATCGGCCCGGCCAAACTTACAGCTTTTTTACTTGTTTAGATTTCAAGCGAATTTTCCAGCATATGTATAGGCTTAGAATAAAGCTCAGAGAAGTTTTTGTTTTTAATATTGTCAATATAGATCCATACCGATCCTAGCTTTGACATAAACTTAATAGGGGGCACTGTTTGATATTCCTGTCTTAGTGACTGTAATATGGAATCGAGTATTTAAAATAGCTCTAGATATCACTAGCTTAATTTTAAGCCATTTTCAAGTTTCTAATTAAAATTTGTGATGGTAAAAAAGTTACATAATTAAATTTTATTTGAGATATGTAACTAATTTTAAATTATCTATAATTTTGGAACAAAATCTCAATTTTGTTGCCCTTGGCAACATAACATTTACAGCTCCTCTTAAACCACACATTACTTACCCTAACAATTCAATACCTTTATTGCATTTAAATATTTATTTATTAGAAAGATGAAAAAAAAAATACAAATGCTTTTAATTATAAAACTAAACACATTTTGTTCTTGTTGTTATCAAATCTCAAAAAAAAAAAAAATGTATGAAATCAAAGATTTTTGCATTTCCAACAAAATTTACTCTCAAATCTCACCGTACTCAACACGACACGGTTACGTGGGACCGCACTCGATGGCATCCTCCACATCCTCGTCGTCGTCGTCTTCGTCGCTATCGGCAACGTTCTCATCGCACAATCAACCCTCGGCTGCAGTCAGTGCATTCGAACCGGATTTCGTAATACCCTTGGAAAATGTAACGGTGGCCCAGGGACGTGATGCCACCTTTACGTGTGTTGTCAATAATTTAGGCGGTCACAGGGTGAGTGGAGATTCTGCAACACCGGCCAAGGTATGTAAACGGTTTTAAAGTAAGAAAGCGTTATTTTTCTTTTTATTTTACAACTTTTTATTTGATTGATTTTTTCAACCTTTTCAAATCACCTTGATTATCTAATTTCTCTTCACCCAAAAACAAGCCAAAGAGCACCAATGCACCAACAATAAATTACAAAAAAAAAGAGCAATTAAAAAACAAATATTTTCTTATTTTTCTAACAAAGTAGCAAAGAGAAATTTCACCAGAAATGAAAAAAACAGAACTCACTAAGAAGATTTATTTCAAGCACAAAATTGCACCAGCACCACTAGAAAGCAATAATGCACTTTTCTTTTTCTTTCATTTTTTCTTTACCATTTTAAAGAATATTAAAAAAAAATATTTTCACAAAAAATTCCATTTTCTTTTATGCAAAAAATTTTTCAATTGGCTTTGTTGATAATCTAAAGAATACACCTACTGACACAGTAGGTGGTTGGTATGTAAGGGATATATCTGAAAGAATTTTGTATTTTTTTTTTTTTTTTTTTTTTTTTCAACAAAATTTCAGGAATATCCTTTTCATGTGGCACACCTTAGTTTTTTTCTTAATCAAAATGAAGAAAGCTAAAAATATTGATTTCAAACCTTCTATTAGTGATGGGAAGTCAAAGGGAATATTCTTTAGTTTTCTTAAGTAATAGCTTATTTGAGAGAAAGGAATTTTTAATAAAGCCTTTGGATTGGCTCTTCTTGAGGTTGTTTTGTAATAATGAACTCTTTTGATCTTTTGATGATTTTTCCAATGTGTGAAATAGGTATGAAATGTATGGCATACTTTTTTAATAGTTTTAAGATATATTAAAAGTTTGATTGGGCCAAAAACGAAACGAAATATTAGTCCTAGACCCATGATGTTATATATCGATCTTCCTATTTCTAGCTAAGTCGATCTATATATGTGTGTCCGTCCGTCCATTTGTCCACGTTAATTTTTTATCACGCTACAGGGTTATGATCGGAATAGAATGGAATTAGGCTTACAATCAGAATGGAGGATGGATCAAAACATTTTTTTTACTGATTATGCAGTCGACATATGGGTCAGAGTTATAGACCAGTCTATAATATAACATAAGGTTTGAACTTAGGAAAAAGCAGAAGTTTAATGTTTTGGATGTTCATCGGGTAATATTTTGAGGGTGAAATGGACAGTAACTTTTGTGTGAAAAATACCAACATTTTCGTTCAACCGTGATTTCCGTTCATAGAAACAAGAAGGGGTGGGCCGATATGTATCACCTTCACACCAGATACTGTGTTAGTATAAGTATTGGGATTTGCGAAGTTTAAAAGAAATCATATGCTTATTTCGCATATTATGAGAGATATAAATATTGTGACCCACTTGTGCCCATCCTATCCCATCTTCACATCAGATCTTTCGATAGTAAAATTATTGAGTTGCGTGAAATTTAAAGAGAATCAGATACTTATTTTGCTTTTATGGGCATTCTGTTATTGGAAATATTGAACCCTTTGTGAGCATTTGTTATTCAAAATTTGACCCCTTTGTGGGGCCGATATCTACCATATTCACAACACATCTTCTGTTAGTAGAAATGTTGGAATGTGTGAAGTTTAGAATTAATCAGATGCTTATTTCGAGTTTCATGATTGATGAAGTTTTGCAAAATTTTGACCCGTGTTGTGGGAGATACCAGAAAAATTGTTCCGATATTTTTCATATTCAGGGGAGGTACCAGAAGAAGAGGACCGATATTGAACATTTTTGGCTTGTTTGTTCGGGATACCATAGTATTTTGTTGTTGGAAATGGTCAGGCTTAATCCCTTTATTGTTGTTTTTATAAAAACAACGTTTGTTTATTAGTGGAGAACGGTGGTAATGTTTACCAGGGGGTAAAAAAAATAACTTCTATGACAAAAAAACATGTTTTACACAAGTAACGAGATCGTAAGCTCAATAGAAGAGGAACCAAAGAATTAAATAAAACTAATATTCTTTTGGAAAATCTCCTAAATCGTACAACCGCACTTATAAACATTTACATCTTTCTCCACTTGTTATGTTTTCGTTCAACCTGAACGAAGTAGCATAACCATGTAAGTTGGTTTTGTCTGTTACAAGAAAAACTCCTTCGTCGACCGTGCCTTGTCTATTAATAGAGAATACGCAGGTTTCGGAAAGAGCCACCAATCCTCATCATCATCATTATAATAATATTAGTCCCTTCGGCTGTCCAAAATGTCTCAGAAAAATTAAATATCTATTGGTATTTAGTTGACACCATGGTGAAATTAAGAAGGTAAAGTCATTTCAAATAAGCAATCCCATCTCTGCATTTTCTGTAACTTACCTAGGCAAATATCTCTGCATAAAAAAAAAAGATTTACATCTCTGATTTGTGTGTATACAATGGATTTTTAAATAAAAATTTTGACAATGAAATGTTGTCAAAGAAAAAAAAAATTGTTATCATATCATCATGGTTGAAACTTGTAATTGACACTGAAAATCTAGACTATTTTTAGGTTTTTGGTCCATTTTGAATACTAAATATTTTGCGAACATCTGCAATGGGCTTCTATTTTGATTCTAACCTACCCCCTGCAACATTTCGTGAAGATTGGACGATATTTGCGACCTGAATGTAATGGAAAATAAGTCAGTTTTTTTTTATTTTTGTGCTCAAAAGTCATGGTATACCTTACAAGCTAAATATTATCCGATGACGGTCCAAATTGGTCGACTTCTGCCCAGCCCTAAACTCTAACTCCATTCGAAATTCCGCGTCGATTGGTTTATAATTGTGAAATTTTGATTTGAAGAAAAACTTTCTGCTTTTGGTCCAATTCAATATTAAATATTTTGCTATAATCTCCAAAATCTACAGGCTTCCTGCACCTTCGATATTTGGCTATATATTTGTCAACGAAATCAGCAGCAGTGTAAAGGTCTGTGGTGCACCTTTCATATATTTGAGATTGTGTTAATTTTTGAAATTTTTCATACAAAATTACTTCTCAGGCTAAATATCATCCGGTAACCATCTAAAATGATAGGCTTCAGCACTGTCCAAAACTCTTCTACTATAGTTGTGACTTGAATATAACACCCACAGCACATAACGGTTTATGACCCTAGGTCTCTTTGGACCAAATCCATTTCAGGACATTTGGAATCGATCTGTCTGGCTGGTGTGCATGATAACTCTCGAAGAGCGATTCTCTATCTCCAATTTTTTCAGTTACCAAAAAAAAAAAATCGATAGAAATAAACTGCTTAAAAGTTCGGTAATTAACGAAATTTTTCAGCGAGTTAACGAAAATTAAGTAGTCAGTAATTCATATCCATAACAACAGGGTTTTCAAATTAATTTTTGGATTTTTATACCCCACAACACCATGTGTTTTATCGAAATATTAGTCCTGAACTATCTTTCCAATACATTGGGTAAGGCGTGTCATATACGAAATTTTTGAAATTATCATCAGATCCTCACAAAATATTGGATGGGGGATGGGTGAGTGTCAAAGTTGTTTTTCAGGAAGTTCGCAAAATTTTTAGGAGTTCAAATGGACCAAAAAATGAAAACTGCCCCTATTTTGCAGCCACTTTACTCAACAAAAGACCAATAGACATGGAATTTTTTTATGAGGTTAGAGTTTAGAACTGGACATAAGTCTAGCATTTCGGATGACAACTTTTGTTAGATTTTACACGGCGTAAGTATGCCAAGCTATTTTTTTTTGCAGGATTGTATTGAATTATTTAAAAAATTCGACCAAAATGGATTTGCACCCAAAATTTTTTTTTTGGGGGGGGGGTGTGTTTTCCCAATATATTACAGTGCTGTATATTGTCCGGCAGACAATAGTCATTTATTACAACTCAAATAAGAAAACAGCTAATTTCGGTCGGGTCGAACTTTTAATACTCTACACCATTGACACTTGAAAAAAGAAAAACAAAAATCCGTCGAAAAATACCGCTCAAAAGGGAAACCGATATATGGGGCTATACGAAGACGCAGACGCATAAACTATTTTTTGTCATGGGTTGTAGTTCTAATTACGAACTTTAAATACGAAATATGATATCATCAAACTGGAAACAATTCCGGTGAATAATGGCGCTAATATCATCAAAATACCAAATATAAGGAGGTGCCGTCATATGTATATGGAGAAGTGAGCGTGAATAGACACTTTTTCGACATAGGCTGTAGCAAAAATAAGTTAGAGAATCCCACTACTGACTAATCCTGGCTGTGTTGTAGGGTCGATCCTTTTGGTTGGCATATTCATAGCTTTCTTAGAAGGTTGCGAAAATGACCCAACAGTACCTATCACAGAAGGATTAATAAATTTCTCAATTAACAATAATTATTTTTTAAATGCCGCATTCTTACTAAAGCAGCAATAAACAACTCATTTCCTTGATTTTTTGTCTAATTATTTATTTTCCGCAAATGTTTTTAAATTACTATATTTTTTTATTTTCCCCTGTGTTTTTCATTTGTATATTTTTTCCATATAAATCAATAAAAAAATCTATGACATATTTATTAGCTCCATTATGGAAGTAGACAAAAGTGGCAAGTAAAAAATAAATGTTAAATAAAAAAGCAAAACAATAAATCGACATGTTTACCATTTTCTTTCTCTGTGTTTATTAATTAAATAATTAATTGAATGTCATTAAAATATTCATCATAAAATTTATTGTGGTTCTCCACAATAATGCGGATGTGTGTGTGTGGCTTTGAAAGATCATGGTCAAAATAATGGTAATGTGGAGAGACTTTAAAATATGAAAAACAAATGGAAAATATTAATTATCGATTAAAAATGTGTTGAAATGTATAAATTACTGATATAATTTAATTTATTTAAAATTCGGAAAAGAATGTGACTTTCAGATAAGATGCTTATTTTAGATTATTTTGGTGAAAAAATTGTTTTTTTTTTTTTTTATACC